CGAGGCAGACCATTTTAGGCCGCACACTTCTTGACTATGTCCTCTGTAGGTTTCCACAATATGTGATCTCACCCGGACGTCATTGTTGAAAATCATACCATCCATCCCACCTGTTGTCAGTATATGATTGTTCCAATCGAGGGCTCCTACTCGTGATTGGTGGCCACCTCTCAAAGTTCGTAACTGCCCAGCAAACAAAAACTCAGTATTCATTCAATCATCGAAAGAAAAGAAACCAAGCCTGAATACAAAAGAGCTTGAGAAGAAGCATACGAATCTGTTAGCCGTGGAATCCCAAAGCTGGACATCAGAATTATTCAAGCCAATGGCAACATGCCTTCTGTCGGGAGCCCATTTAACACTCGTAACCGGACCAAATTCATCATCAACTGTGACCAATTCAGAAGTGCTGCCCTCAGAAGCATCCCACAGGTAAACAGTACTCCCAAGAGCAATAGAGAGAACATTGATGCTTCCCCAATCTAGTAGATTCAAGTAGTAATCATCCAAAATATCTGGGGCATCTAAAGTCCTCTCAGATGTCTGCAAAAATGAATCATTCATTGTGAGAAAAAAAGAATCCCTTCTATCATTGACCCGCTAACCTCAAGTAGGGGTGTGCACTGGTCCAAAACCGGACCGGACCGGAACCGGAATGGACCGGAACCGGAATCCTCTATTTGCAAGGACCGAAGACCGGACCTGTTAGATACCGGTCCGGACCGGTCCGGACCTGAATTTTCCGGCCCGGTCCGGGTTTAACCTATTTTGGACCGGAATTTAAACATAAATGACCTACCCCGGGTATTTTTCATTATAAAAAAATCATATCTAAATTGTATATGTAAATATATATGTAATACCATCAATCCCCAAATTTATAACAATAACAATTCACTTTGGAGGGCAATTGTTAAATTCATAAGTTCATAACACTACAAAATCTATGAAAAAAATCTCAAACCAAAGTTCAAACTTCAAAGAAAAACATTAAATAAAAAATACTTAAAGTAAAAATTGAAATTAAGTAACATATCATGCTAGGAGTCTAATAAAATTGAAAAAAGAAGAAATTTGAAAGGATAATGGTCTAATGAATTAATTATTTATTTTAAAAAAATAATATTCTATTATATACCGGAAACCCGGAATCCTAAATTTCGGAGGACCGAAGACCGGACCTGAAAATTCCGGACCGGTCCGGACCGGTCCATTCCGGTCCGGTTCAGGTCTAAATTCTGGTATGGACCTGTTAATGCAGACCCCTGACCTCAAGAACAATCAAGCTCTACTTGCCTACCTGAGGAATGTGGCGACGGGGTTTTGTAGGTTTGGCCTGGTAAGCGGAAGAGTTCTCATTCAGAAAACCATCCAAAGGGGGGG